GCCTCCCCCTCTCCTCTGATCCTCACTGCGTCTCTGTGGGTGCTGATCAGCCACCTAACCAAACCATCCGAGTCTCAGATACAACAGTCTGAGTCTCAAGGGCAATAGCTACGTGCCTGTGGCTTCGGAGTATTCCTCCAGCGTGTCTGGAAACTTGTTGGGGGGGTTAAGATGGGTCATGTTGCTTGGAAAGGGGAGAACTCCCTGCAGGAGGGAAATGTTTGCATGAGAGCCTGGCAGGCCACTGCCGCGTTCTGGATTTGAGCAGAATTTCTTCTCCACCAGTTGTCTCAGACGCCTGCCTTACGACTCGCACAGTCGTGTGAGTGCACAGCTGATATGCAGGGCTGTGTCCCTGAACTGCTGCTGCCTTTCCCAGGGACAGGGGAACAACTGCGACACCCATACTCTCACGATGCGTGTTTTGGGTCTTGTCTCAGTATTTATTTGAAGTTACCATCTTTTTGTGTTTGCCATGCTTTTTTATAGCATTCGGTGTCTCAGTTTAAACTCAACCATGTCTCTTGCATTGTCCCTTGACTATTATCCAAATCCAAAAAAAAAAAAAAAAATTAAAAATGCAAAATCAGCTTGCAGACTGGTCCCACGTCAAAACGTGCCAGCGTAGCGTGCTTCAGTGCACGCCCTGCGGAACCTGCCCACCGCAGGGCTGGGTCCTAACGGACCGAAGCGACTTACACCGACTGACGCGCCGTGCGGACGTACCCTTCATTTAGCCACCCGTTCTCTCAGACTTTAGGTTGTTAAGGTTTTTTTGCCCTCATAGATTATTTTATATCTATGAAGAGGATGTTAAAATAGTTTATAAGATCTATTGATACTGTTCAAATATCCTGCAGTGTAAGTACTTTCTTTAAGCATACATTACTAGATGCATTGATTTAATACACCAGAATGAAAGGATGGCTAATGTACATCCTAAATAAACTTGCTGCATTACATGAAAAGTCCATATTAATGGCCTCTAATGTAGAAGCTATAAAATAAATATGTTCTTAGTTATAAGGAATAGAGTGGTTTGATGTTATGTTTTCTAAATTGCCTTTGAAAATCAAACTTTTTTTTAATCCCTGCTTGAAAGAATCAGATTATCTAACTGTACTAATTAAATTACACGATGCCATCATTTTACCAAGCCCTGAGTGCTTCCTGAATGACTTTTAAGTACTCTCAGCTCCATTGACTTGACTGTAATTGATTTCAGTGGGAGCTGTTGGCTCCCGGCACCTTGTAGGGGAGGGCCCTGCCATTCTGGGGGGAAAGGCTGGTGCCACGTTGTGTGACAAAAGCTCTCCTCTCTATGAAAGTGAGGCAATTCTCACAACACTTAAACTATTGCTGAAAACCAGTGCTTTTTTCCCTTGCTAAGGTAGGGGCCATCAGTAACTTGGGGTTGCAGTGCGACTGGGAGAAGCACAGCACAGCCCGACGCGAGCGGGTCCGTCCGTTCAGCAGAGCCCTGCTGAGGGTGCCGGCGCGGGACCCGCAGCTCTGCCGGTGCCGGCGCCTTAGCCTGGCACCTTCGTGTCGCAGCTGAGGCAGACAGCCAGCCCCGAGCTGTTAATGGAGTCACGTGAGGATTTTAAGAGCTCCCTGATTCATGTACTTTGTGTTGTTTAGTCGTTTTAATCAAGGCGGGGAGTAGCCTTTGAGCAAATTGTTATTTTATGCCTAGAAAAATACTTTTTTTTTTAGCCAGACAAAAAAGACAAGTTGTACTCATTCATGTTTAGCTTGGCAATGATGTGAAGTCCTTTAACATAAAGTAACTTTTTGAAGTTATTTCTCTCTGATAGGTACAGTTTTTCCTTTCCAACTCAACTATATCTGTGCAGGCTTAGCTTACGGAAAATGATTCCATATATAATCAGACAAAGATTGTTTTAAGAAGGTGAATTAGTATTAATCCATTATTCTACTTTCAAATTAAAACTAGGTTTTTTTTCTTTAATGGACAGATAGGAAGGCATTTGTTGATGTCTCACTTCAGACGTTTGGAAGAAAGTTAGATGGCCTTTAAAGTAACAGAAGTGGTAGGAAGCTACAGCATTATGCAAAAAGAAACTGTGCAGCTATCAAATTTACATCAAGGAAATCGGAGTTTAGTTTGGTCTTCAGCATCACCCTCTTCTGTCAGATCTTGCCAAGGGAGATGCAGGGTATATATGCTCAGGCTTTCCGAATAACCAGCTCTACTATGAACCTTTCTGTTTTGTTGACTTCAGCTTTGAATGAAGTTAAATTGTGGCGTCAAGCCAAACCCAGTGCCAGAGAATGAGCTTTCTCCTTGCCGGGTTTCTAAGGGGAATCCCTGCGTTTTTGCCCTTTTCCAGAAGGGATCCCGGAGAAGGCACAGCTGCACTGCGGCTGGTCCAGCCGTCTCCAGCAGCAAAGCTAAATCCAGAATGCTGCTCTGGTCAGAAGGAGCCATCCCCCCGCAGCGCAGGCTGGCTCCTCCCCAGCGTGCACTCGTGTGCCGGGACGTGTCTGCAGCAGCCCCTGGATGGGCACCAAACAGGCTGCTGCTGCGGGGGTACAACATTTGCAGGTGCCAGTTCTGGTCGTTTTGCACTACAGGCACGCGGAGGCTTGCAGATCATGACAGCTAACAAGATGTAATCTCTCTTTAGAAACGGTTCCCACTTTAGTATTTACCAAATAAAAATTCTAGCTATTTATTCTAGCGATTTTTCAGGTGCCAGGGTAACTATTAGTCGTTGATGCCAGTGGCTTTGGACTAATCCCATCCAGCAGAGCTGAGCATCTTTCAGTTCCGTGAACAGCGTGGGAAAGGAAAGAACATGTTTTGCAAAAGTGTATGTTCAAATTATCCTGGCCTTGTGTTTTCTGTTTGTGCATATGGCTGTGCTGTTTGTGCCTGTAAAGTCGGAGTGTGCCGCTCTCCAGAGGAGTACAACCAACCCAGTTAAGCTATCCCTGGCGCAGAAGCTGGAGAAATGTTAATGTAAAAGATGAAAGTCCCTTGCAGATGGTAAGAAGTAAATATGGCAACGACCTCCTTTCTAAAGAATTTCTAATTTTAGTAAACTTTTTAAAAATTTTAATTCATGCATTTTAAACCAGCTTAAAATACTACACGAACATATTTAATTACATCCGTATGGTCTCCCACTAACAGCAGTACACCCTGTGTTAGTGTGTGCACGTCCAGGGAGAACAGCCGTTCGCTCAGGAGACTTCCCTGAGATGGACTGGCCTCCAGTTTTGCTTAATGGGGACTAAAATTCAGTGTGGTAAAGAGCATTTAAATTTTACCTAAATTTAGATTGGTCAGAAAGAAGTGCTGAACAGCAGTGGCCCTGCAGCCTCCCTTCCTCCTGACTCATTTATAAGGGGATTAAAACAGAAATCAGAAAAACCGAAGAAATGAGATTTGTTAGAGACTAGAAAGTGGGCTTTTTTTTTATTTAAGATAAACTTCCGTTGATGATGACTACCAAAAGGTTTAATAACCTGCTCTAATACCTCATGTAAGACCACTGTATGTTGAGACCTTCATGGCTTCTTTGTGGTAATCCAACACCAGAGACAAGGAGATCAATCTTTTCAATATCACTCTGAACCTCTGTGTTTCCAGGCACTTCCCCGAGATTTCTCTGTTAGGCAGTGGTAAATTAGTGAAGATGTGTGATTTAAAGGATGGTATCAGATGAAAAGCATAGGAAGCTGACTTTTTAAATATTAATTTTGTTGTTGATTGATTTAGTCTTTATCTTTGAAAGATTTAGTCTTTATCTTTTCCTTTTTATTCCCTTATATGGTGAAAAATTACTGTATATGGTATTATAAAGATATCTCAGCAGTCATCCTGTGATGAAAGGTAGACATGTGATTCAAGGTGAATAATTCCTTCTTGTAAATATGGATTTTTTTCATTGTTTGTGGCTTACATACACAACAGTATTTATTCCAACTAAACCTGGACTACTGAAGGATTTTGCTGTATATTAAAAACTATACAACATTACTTCATTCCATTATGCTTCAGCGGCATAGGTTGGACACACCACACGCTTCATTATATGGCATTTGCCAGTGGCACTGAGTAGTTACACAGTCCTGAGCCCACCCCGAGTGTGGGACAGTATGATGTGTATTTGATGGAGCAAAAGAGGGCACTGCAAAACAGGACAAGTGTGGGAAAAATGAATCTTTCTTTATGCACAATTATTTCTCCCATCGAATGTACTTTACTCTTCAAATATAGTATTACATTTAATTCTGTTAGAATTTTTGTTGTAAACTGTGCAAGTTGTTATTGATTGACAATTCTACTCTGATTAGTAATTTTTTCAATATATCTTACTATAAATCCAGAAGTATCTAACGATTTGGTATCAGTAGCTGTACATAGAGCTCTACTAA